CTGCTTCCTGAGACAGGTTGCTGTCCTGACCTAGTCAAGCATGTAATTTCTGTACCTAGTAGCATTCACATAGTAGTACTTGTGACTATCCCTCCCCCCCCCCTTTACCCTAGATAATTATTTGGAGCCTGCCAAGATGCTTGGAGATTCATTTCTCTTGCAGCTGCCCAAAATATGACTTATTTGTAAGCTTCTCTTACTAAGGAGTGGCAAGATTTTTTTCTTTGGTCTTTTCCCTGCATTCCATTTAGGGAGATAGATTTTCAGTCTTGGGGGTTTTTCCCTGGGTCTGTGTATACTAGGAACAATCTTCTTCCCACCATTGGAGATGATCCTGGACACAATAGGTCCAAGGCCACCTGTCACTACTTGAGCCAAATTAAGCAGAGACAGAGTTGAATCGTGTATGAATGTTTATTCCAATACAATACTGCTGGCATTACGGGGAGAGCAGTCAGTCACCCTGGAAATTCTGCTCTTCCTCTTTTTCTGTCAGCTTGCTGATTATCTAGGGGTAAAGGAGAAGATAACTGTGTGCAGCTGCAAAGTGCACGTGTAACAGGGAAAGGGGAGGGGAGGGTCTGTATTCTGGCCTTCAGGAGCTCAAAGTCTGATAACAAGGTGGCTAATCTTCTATGATATTATAAACAGCTTAGCCAGTTCCTGGGACCTGAGAATGGTCAGCGTCCCTGAGGCAAACTCCCGGAGGTGGTGAGGGTCTGGGCACAGCAACCAAACCAAAGCATGTCCTGTCCTTGGTCTTTTCTCAAAATGTATTTCTTTTCTGAGTAATGGACCCATCAAGGCATCTTATCTTTTTTTTTTAAAAAAATATATTTTATTGATTTTTTACAGAGAGGAAGGGAGAGAGATAGAGAGTTAGAAACATCGATGAGAGAGAGACATCGATCAGCTGCCTCCTGCACATCTCCTACTGGGGATGTGCCCTTGACCGGAATCAAACCTGGGACCTTTCAGTCCACAGGCCGACGCTCTATCCACTGAGCCAAACCGGTTTCAGCGGCATCTTATCTTTTTATAGCCTTGTTTCATCCTTCAGTTTCCCAGGGTCTGTAAGAAAACCTCTTATCTATAGTTAGTAAGGTGAATAATTACTAAATAACTATGGTTCTATTCTTAATACATCCTATTCCCTCCCCCGCCCCCTCCCCCCCCATCAGAGATGGAGGAGGAGGAGATTTGCCCTGTGCCAGGGATTTTCTCCCAGGCTTGGGGTGAGAGGAGACTTGTCCATGAGAGGCAGAATGTACTCTTTAGAAAGGTGCACAAGCCTGGCCAGTGCAGGCAGGAGTTGGTGTAGTATTAGCCAGGCTTGAGCTCGAATCTAGCTACCCTGTCACATCCCTTAGATTGAAAAAGTCTAATTTGCCACTCATTAGTTCCTAACATGTTAGGGAAACTGCCATTACCAAGGCTTTGCCATTTCCTTTTCTTTTCATCAGCTTTCTTTCCTCTTCATCTCCCTTTTTAAAATTTAACTTAGCCCTAGCCGGTTTGGCTCAGTGGATAGAGCGTCGGCCTGCGAACTGAAGGGTCCCAGGTTCGATACCGGTCAAGGGCATGTACCTTGGCTGTGGGCACATCCCCAGTAGGGGGTGTGCAGGAGGCAGCTGATGGATGTTTCTCGCTCATTGATGTTTCTAACTCTCTACCCTTCTCCCTTCCTCTCTGTTAAAAATCAATAAAATATATTTTAAAAAAATAAAATTTAACTTAATCACAAATAATATGTGAAAAATAGTAGCCAACATTTCCTGAGAACCAGCCAAGGTTCTGATATTGTTATGTGTCTCACAAACACTTTATGAGGCAGGTTCCTAGGCTAGCACCATTTTACACTGAGAAAACCAAGGCATAGGGGTTAAGACGTTAAGTAATGCTCAAGGTCTCACAGAGCCAAAGAAGCGAATGAAGCTTAGGCTTCAAGGTCAGTACCTCGTTGACACAGGCAGTTCCAGGCTCTGTGCTAATTTCTTTTTTTTTTGGGGGGGGGGGGTAGGGAGTACCAAATTACTTTGAAATAATGGTATAAATGAAAGAATATTAGTAGATGATTTGATATGCTGTGCTGAATTTTGTATTCATATTTAGTTTTTATTTTCTTACATAGGCCCACAAAAACAGAATGCAGCCTCTGATGTAACATGTAGTGTGCTGTTTTCTTGCAGATATTTAAAAAACACACTTACATCTATAAATGAAAATAGATCCTCCTTTAAAAATACTTGTAGTCCCACCGTGTGTATAGCTGGCACGCCACTCTGCAGACTGTCTTTCCACGTTACTAATCGTCGCGGGATATGCGCCACAGATGCTCAAATTTATTGACCCACCTTTCCAGAGTTGAGCCCTCCACTTCCCTCTGAAGCTAGACTTTCCCTTCCCCGGGGTTCCTCCCCTAGTATTCTCCCTTCGCTTGCTCCTCATTCCGGGTTCCTCACTCACACCAACCCCCTTCTGGCCCGCATCCTTGCTACCTCTACCTCACACCCATTCCGCGCAGCCTAAGAATTTCGCCTCTCCTAGCCGCCCCCTCCTACTTCACCACTCCCCCCCCCACCGCCCCCCCCCCTTCCTCCCAGCCCACCTCATTGCACTTACTCACAGTTGCCCCCTGCTCTGATGCTTCAGCGCCCTCTTCCCGTCCCTCCCGCCCCTCCCGCCCCCAGTGCCCAGCCTAGCGACTCCGGGCCCAGCAGAAGCGCACAGCCGCGGGCTATGGACGCGCGCTGACAGGATAATGAATGGCTTCAGTGGTAATTAGGGCCTGGCGGCTAATCACCCTGTACATTTACATTTTAAGTGCTGCTGAGCTCGTCGGGTAGCGTAGGGGACGAGGTGGGGTGGCGGGGAGAAGAGTGCTCTTTCGGCGCTCTCCGGCCCCGGACTCCGGAGAGAAGTGAATTGAACTCTTTCCAACGGGCTGCGGGGGCGGGGAAGGAGGGGCGCCGCCTAGAGGGCCAGCCCCGGAGGACGCCCAATACTCATTTTCTGCAAAACCGTACCTCTCACCCAGGCCCCTTCCTTCAAACTGCAGACCTCTGCCTGCCTTCTCGGCCCTCCCCAACCCCAGTGAACCTTCAGCCTAAACTTGCATACCCCCAAGCACGTCAAACTCGCCTGTTCTTCCCTAACCAGCCTGTTACAACGTAGCTTCCTGCCCTAAAAGAGCCTGGGTCCCCTGTGCCAGGCTTTGTGTCTTCTTGAGGCTCCTGTGCCCCTGGCACCTATAACTGTCCTCGCGGGGCCCACGGGAGCTGGCACGGGCCCCAAGTACAGGTTCCCAGCGGAACGCGACCGGAGGTGCCTGATCCCAGAGGACAAACAGGAGATGGGGAGGTCTGTAACTCATACGCTGAGGCGCAAAGGTCCACCTGCTCCAGCCACTCCCAAGGGGCGGTAATGGGGTTCTGAACAACAGAGGCCGATAGCTAGGAGTTACAGGGTGCCGAGGAGACGAGAGCAGTGGTGAGGAGTTAGAGAAGGACTCCAGCAGACCCTCTCAAGACTGGGGTCCAGTGCCTCCCAACCACTGTCACGTCCCCAGCATTCTCAGGGTTGTCCTCCCGTCCTAGCTCTCCGTGTGTCCGCCCCCACCCGCCACGCCCCGTCGTAGTCACCTCTGCCTGGATCTGGTTTGCCCCACTCTCTTAGTTCTGATTGTGCAGTACGTGTAGGAGGGTAGAAAGATGAAGGGTGAGGCGCTGGGGCAGCTCTAGGGAGGGTCCCGCTCCTTCTCCAGCCTTCTCCCTCCCTTCAGCTGTCCTTCAACCCTAACCTCTCTGTCTTCGCTGGTCATTTCTCCTGGCCACTCTCTAGGTTCCACGCAGTTCCCGTAGAGGGGCACCCAGAGACTGACAAGCGGCTCATAGCGCCACCAAAGCTTCAACTTCCCACTTTCCATCCTTTTCTCTCTTAAAACCTGCCTTCGCCCAGTCTCCTTTTTTGAAAAAGGACCCCAGAGGTCTCAAGATGCCAAGACTGACGGACAACTAATTCGACTGGGGGACAAGGGGGGCCCACGTTATCGGGAAGCACGCCTGGCTTACCTTAAAGCGTGCAGCTCTAATGATGGACTTTCAGGCAGGGGTAGAGGGAGCTTGAGAAGGGATCTCCTGGTTCTCCTCCCATTCATATCAGGGAGAAGCCTGGCCCAGAGTCTCACTCCCCCCTCCTCAGGGAAGTCCGAGGGTGCGATGACCTCCAGCCCGGCCAGGCACCGCGAGGCTAAGACCTCAGTCTCCGGCTGTCCTGGAGGGCCACGACGCGAGGTAGTCAGAGGAGGGCAGGCGCGGAGTGGGGCCGAAGCCAGCGCCTCCCGCACTTGCTGACTGTGCACGGATGTCCTTGAGGCGAGCATATTGGCTCAGGAGCTGAAGGGACGAAGCTGGGGGGAGTGAGGAGGGTCTGTAAATCTCTCCTTGGGAGGGAAGAAAGGGAAGGGTTCAGTCGGAAGGTGGAAGGGCCCGGGGACCGGGCTTGAAGCAGCATTTGCACCGCAAACGCAGTTTTTATTTAGTTAACCCCTCTATAAGGGTTGGCTCGGGAAGGTCTGATAGCGATTATAGGGGAACTTCGCCTTATCCCGTGGCGCTGCCATAACGAGCCACTGTGCGCGCCGTCCCCACTCCAACAGCCGAGGATCCCGCGGATTGGATCTGAGAAGTGGGTGAGGCTGGGGCGGGGCTGGCGGGCCGAGTTAGGGGTGGGACCTGGCGGTAGGGGCGGGGCCCACAGGCGGGGCCTCGGCCGAAGGCGCGGAGCTCGGGGCGCCCTGAGCTCGGAATAGAATAGTAACCTCTGGAGACAAGTGGGAAACGACGATCTCGCGGTCCCTACCCGCCCACCAGCTTCCGCGCCGTTCCCTCACGGTTACCCCTGCGGGTCCTCGCGGGGCGCGATCGGCAGCCATGCAGCCCGGGGGCTGAAGTGGCCCCATGGCAAAGCCCACGTCCCCGCGGTCCCGGCAACCACCGCTCATGGAGAACTACCGTAAGGTGCGCTCCGAAGAGGCGCCGGGGGGAGTCGGGACTGAGTGGGGCGGCCTGAGCCCTGACCCCTTCGCCGACCTGGCGCCGGGCGCCGTGCAAGTGCGGGTCAAGGAGGGCAGCAAGATCCGGAATCTACTAGCCTTCGCCATCTCCAGCATGGCGCAGCCAGCCACGCGCGCCATCGTCTTCAGCGGCTGCGGTAGGGCCACCACCAAGACCGTCACATGTGCCGAGATCCTCAAGCGCCGCCTGGCTGGCCTGCACCAGGTCACGCGGCTGCGCTACCGGAGCGTGCGCGAGGTGTGGCAGAGCCCCCCGCCAGGGCCCACTCCTGGGCCTAGCGAACCCGGCACCAGTCTCAGTGTTCTTAAGAACATGCCCAGCCTCGCCATCCTACTTTCCAAGGATGCACTGGATCCGCACCAACCCGGCTACCAACCCCCGAACCCCCATTCTGGCCCCTTGTCCCAGCCAACCAGGGCAACGTCCAAGAGGAGCCTAGGGGAACCCGCTGCTGGAGAAGGCTCCGCGAAGAGGTCACAACCTGAACCAGGTGCTGCGGAAGAGGACTGGACGGCCTGAGAACTCTGGGCTCTGGGCCACCTCGATGAGCTGGATTTTATACCCAGCGCCTCAACCTTGAAATGCACCTTCAGCCGTTCACGCTTCGGTCTTCTGGAGCTCACAGCCTGGTCTCAGCTCCTCAGACTGCCACATGAACTCCACAGCCACAAGAGAAGGACCCTAGGGCAGCTTCGTGGGGCAGTTCTCCTTCACTTATGTTGCCTGAAGATGCAGAATTCCACCTTCAGCTTTGCTGAGCCATACTGAGACCTTCTTCAGGGAGGGAATGGTGGGCAGTGAGATTCTTGAGCCTTGCCCGGGACCCACAAGTATTAAAGACATCCAGCATTCATCGGGGGGAAGGGGGGGAGGAGGAAAGTGTGGAAGCCAAGGAGAGCTCTTGGAATCACCCTCATCCATTGGCAGCCGAGGGCGAGGAGTGAGAAACAGACTGCTTGGGGCAGGGGAGCCTCGTTTTTCCGCTCACCCCAGGACAGTTTACCTTTCTAGTTTTCCTTCCCTTCTGTTAAGGAGTGTCCTGAGATCCTGGTGGCAAGGGCGGGGCGACAAGCTCTAACTCTTTTAACATTCTCCCTGCCCCAAGCTGGCTCAGAGGCAAGAACCAGAACAAAATTCTCTATGCCTCCTCCCTTGAGCCCCGCAGCTGGAGTGTTGCTTTCAATAAAACAAACATAAATATGGCTCTGTCCCATATTTTTCCCTACTTGCCTGTGCAAAAGACAGCTCTGACCTGCCCTCTTGTGTTTCAGTCCCCTCCAGCCTGGGATCCTTAACCTTTGTAGTCTTCAGGGTCAGGTACAGAGACTGGACAGCTTCAAAATGGTGCAAGAGGCACATTGCCCAGTCCCTGGCTTCTCCCTCTCTCCAGACCTCCCTGGCTGCCTCTGGCCTCTGGGGCTTGTGGCTAGAAGGAGGCCTGTCTCCCCTGTTCATAACTACTAAGTAAAGAGGAGCAGTACATTGCTTTTCTGGGAGGGGAAGGAAAGAATCCATGAACTTCCCTGAGGGGGTCACTGCCAAGATCTTGCTTGGGGTTCCTAAACCTGCAGCCTCCTGCAAATAGACAGCTTTACCCAGAAGGCTGGCACAAAGCCCTCTTCACTGCTCTCTCTCTGAGAAAGGACAGCACACCCTTGGGAGAGGGGGAGGAGAGAGATTGAGCACAAATCCACTGCTGGGAATTACTATTCAGCAGAGAAGCTGGGACTTGGACTGTGAATCACTGCAAGCTCCCTGATAAGCTGCTGCCTCGAGCCCTGCACAACTGTCTGCTGAGAGATAACGGTTTCATAGCCTCTCTGCCCAACTTCAAGTCCACTAGGGGAAGAGAGGGGGTGCTGGGTGCTGGAAGAACTCTAGCAAATGGGGGTGGGGGCATATAGCCTAAGATCTCAGAAGCACACCTTACCCCATGCAACTCCCTAGCACCCTGGAAAGGAGGAGGTAGGGAGGAATGTAAGTCACTTTGCTGGCAGGACCCTGAAATAAATCCTTCTGCTGGTGACAAGAGGTGGTCGTTCCCCCCTCCCAATATCTCTGCTTGCCTTCCCCAATGTATTCTTGTTGAGTCCCTGCAGAGGGCCAAGGGGCTCTGGTATGATTGTTGACCCTCTTAGGGGTGGCCCAAAAGAGGGTGGAAAGAATGTAAATTACCCTAACAACCAAGGACCCTTCATCTAAATTAAATGATAAAACTTGGGAGAAGTAGAAGCTTAAGGGAGACTGGTCTTGGTTCTGGAAAAGGGCCAACTGTCCAAGACCACTAGCGTCTGAAGTCCTGATTGCCAGTCCCAAGGACTCATCAAGCAGAAGCTTGGGGGTGGGGTGGGGGGGTTGCTTCAGAGGCTGTCTCTTTTGATGTTAGGTCAGGTAAGTCCCCTTCCAGCTTGGAAATTCCTCTTGAGGTGTGCAGAGGAGAGGGGCATGTTGTTGCTCCACTTTCAGAGCGTTAACTTGCTCCCATGCTGGAAAGCATGTTATGAAACTGGCTTTTTCTTCCTCACCCCCAGAAGGTTTGTTTCCTGGGCTTTTGATAGGTGCTTATGGGTGCCAGTGGAACCTAGCACTGATGAACACCCCATTCTTGCCTTACTGACCCTCTGGCCTCACTGAACCAGGAGCAGGCTCCAAAGGAAGATGGCAGATATCCAGGTACACCTCCCCCAAGACTGAGGTGGGACTCTGGGCAGTGCAGGAATAAGGGGGAAAGCTGCGAGGGGAGCACCTCAGAGATGGCCCAATTTGGGAGCTAACTAGTAGCGGAATGCGAGGGAGTGGGAAGCCCCCTTGTGACCCCATCTTTCCAATAGTGGCCTCTAACAAGGAGCTTCCTGGGCCTGCCTTGGGGCACCTGTAGGCTAGGGGTGGCAGTGAAGGCTCACACCCACAAAACTGTCAGGTCATACAATCAGAATCCATTTCTGAACATAAATGTATGTAATCCAAGGCTAGGCCTTGAGAGACTTCATTGTTGTGCCAGGTCTCAATCTAGGCATGGGGTGGGACTGGGGGTAAGAATCACAGAGTAATCAGACACTGTTTCTGCTTCAAGGAGGTCCCAATCTAGTGGAGAGAAAGAAAAGGAAGTTAGCACAGGCCATGGTAGTGGGAGAAGGCAGGAGCTCTGAGAAGGAACACTTAACTCATACATAGGTGCTGGTGGAGCTGGTTCCCTAAGGACCAGAAGGTCTGGGCAGGGAATTCCAGGCAGAGCACAGAGAGGTGGTGCTGTGTCTGGTATTGAGGCAGCCTCAAGTCTCTGAAGGATATAAGCATCTGAAGGATACATATTAAGAGGCAGATGGGACTGGAATACTAGGTAGGAGCCAAGCCACAAGGTAGTGGGGAGCCAACAGAAGCCAGGGAGTGCCCTTATCTGTTTGGTGTTTGAGAAGGATCCCTTCAACACCTGTGTAGCTGGGAAGTGGGTTGGAAGGGTCCTGCCTGGATCCCAGAGGCTACAGGGAGGTAAGAGATGGGATAGTGGTAGCAGGGGCAGAGATGGGGACAGATTTGGTAGTATTTCACTGCCATTACAGCCAGGACAAAGGAGGGCTTTTTATGGCATTAAGCCTAGTCTGGTCAGGACTTGGCCTGCCTTCCTGGCATAGCAGGAGACATGCTATGTAAAGGCTAAACAACAGGGATTTTGTGGGGAGTGAGGGGTGGGGTCCACAGTTTCAAATTGGTTAAAAGTTTTAGGAGCTGTCGTCCATTTCAGTAGGGAGAAGTCCTGAGTCAGACACACTCCCTCCCCCAACCCCACACCTACTCCACCCCTTCCCTCTACCTCCCAGCCCCAACCCCATTAGTTGGGAAGTTTGGGTCATTGCTATGTCCACATTGGCCACTAGGATGTTCTAGTCCTCTCAATTTCACTGTGATGTTGAATCACCTCCAAGTCTCCCAGAGACAGGGGTAAATGGAAGAAAGGGAGGGAAGGAGGGGAGGAAGGAAGGAAGGAAGGAAGGAAGGAAGGAAGGAAGGAAGGAAGGAAGGAAGGAAGGAAGGAAGGAAGGAAGGTCCACAGGAGGGTCTTCTTGGTGACAACAGGTTTCTTCTCAGAGCACAAATCTTAGTTTGTAATTATTCCCTCATTAGTGTGATCCTCCGGTTGTCAGTCACCCCACTGAACCAGAAGTCTATGATTAAATAAATTCTGCCTGCCTTACTCCCTACCCCCTACCCAGCTCCTGGCACATAGGAAGCCCACAGAGAGCTGGTGACTGAATGAATAGACTGGCTAAGCCATATTTATGAACTGTTCTGATGCCATATCCAAGTCCTTAACTGTCCAGTCCCATAAACGGTGGCCAAAGCTTTCCTATCCTCACCATTCTTTTCCCATCTGGGCCCTTGGGTCCTCACTGATCTTTGATGATTGGGTTTGTATACACAACTTGAATATTCTAGTGGGATTTCTGATACCTCCTAATTATCACAGATATTATGGATTGAATTGTGTTCCCCAAAAGATATGTCAAAGCCCTAACCTGTGAATGCTACCTTATTTGGAAATAGGGTCTTTACATATGTAAGTCATATGTCACATGAAGTCATACTGAAGTAGGATGGGTCTTTAAATCCAATATGACTAGTGTCCTTATAAGAAGAGGAGAAAAGACAGGGATAGACACAGAGGGAAAAACAACATGTGAAGATGGAGGCAGAGATTGAAATTATGTAGCTGCAAACCAAGGAATGCCAAAAGTTGCCAGGAAACAACAGGAAAAGACATGGAACAGAGTCTTCCCTAGAGCATTCAGAGAGAGTATGGTATCCCTGACATCTTGACCTTGGAGTTCTAGCTTCCAGAACTATGGGAGAGTAAATTTCTGTTGTTTTAAGTCACTTTGTTACAGCTGCCTTAAAAAACAAATACAACAGGTATTCTCACCACCTTCAGTGGAAATTGGGGAAAGGAATGTGGGGTGTTTGCCAAAGTCCTTCTTATCAGAGTTTCTATTCCTGATTGGAGGGAGACTCTCTACTCTGCAAGCAAATGTAATACCTGGTATCATATTGAACATATCATAGGCATTGGAGAAAGAAAGGCTGATGGTGATTTCGGGCAAAATAATTCTCTGAGCCTTAGCTTTCTTATCTGCAAATGTGCTAGATTGCTCTGGGATAAGGGATATAATACCAGACTTACCAACCTTGGTTCATGTGCAGAATTACTTAGGACACATATTTTTTAACTTTGAAAGTACATTTATTAAAGCTGGGGACAGTGAAATAAGGAAGGGCTTAGGATAGAAGAAGCAATAGGAGAGACCCTAGGCTGGCTGCTTTGGCTCACTGAAAAGTCAGAGAAAAGGGGGCCTTGGAGACAGGTTCAGGAGGTTAGCCCAAAATGAATTGCTGCTGCCCATTATTCCCCTGAGTTTAGGAGATGTGTGCCTGTGGGAGAAGGAAATGGCTCGGGGTGCTCTCAGGAGGGAGAGTGTCCCTAGGACACTTATTAAAAATACAGATTTGCCATAGCTGTTTGGCTTAGTGGATAGAGTGTCAGCCCATCCTGGGTTCAATTCCAGTCAAGGGCATGTACCTCAGTTGCAGGCTCAATCCCTGGTCAGGGCACGTGTGGGAGACAACCAATCCATGTGTCTCTCACATCCATATTTCTGTGTGTCTCTTCTCCTCCCTTCCACTCTCTCTAACAATCAATGGAAAAATATCCTCAGGTGAAAATTAACAAAAACTAAAAAATAAAAATAAAAAAACAGACTGGCCAGGCTGGTGTGGCTCAGTTGGTAGAGCGTCATTCCATGCACCAGGCGGTTGCTGGTTCAATTCTGGATCAGGGCACATGCCCAGGCTGCGGCCTCCATTCCCCATCCAGCTGCATATGGGAGGCAGCCAATTGATGTTTCTCTCTCATCGATGTTTCTATCTCTCTCTCCTTCTCCGTCTCCCTTCCTCTCTCTGTAATCAATAAAAAACATATTTAAACAGAATAAAAATACAGATTGCCTGGACTGAACTCCAAACCAACAGGATCAGAATTTCCCAAAACATACCTGGAAATAGGCACTTTAATAAGATCCTCATGTGATTTTGATAATTAACCCAGACTGACTATTCCCTAAGGAGATATATATATATATATATATATATATATATATATATATATATATATAAATCCCCCTCTCATTCCCTTCACATTCAGCCACAGTTT